CGTTCATATCAAGCTCTTTTAAATTTTAAGTTGGTTCCGGTAATAATAAAAGTAGGCTCTCGACTTGTTGACTTATTAAATACTCAAGCCGAATCGTAAACTGTTTTTCGACGTTCAACTTTAAAGGATGAACTGGCTTTATTGGTTTTTAAATTTACGATTAACTGAACGGGAAAACGCTTATCTTCTTCGACCAAGTTATAAAAAGTAAAGTACTTTCATGCGACTTGAGAAGTAAATAATGTCCAGCGTTTCGCCGTTAGGGGATTTTAGAGGATTTAAAACTGAGTAACAGAGATCAAGTTATAAAAAGTTGAATTCGAGTCAACGACTATAGAATTGTTTTCTAAGATAATAATCTGGCAATGCGATCTGCACTTGTACGGATCTCGTAAAGTTTATTTTTATTAATTTTCGCGAATTTGGGATTTTACTGAAGTCAAAGGGAAATCAACTTACTACAAGTTCTATTAATTTATTTAAAAGATATTTCAACAAATGTAGTCTTTCAAGGTCAAGAAAAAAATTTTCGGTCTAAAATGTTATAATTTAAATTTAGAAGACACTCACTACATATTTCAAATTCTCTAAAATAATATTAATGCTGAATCTTTGTACCTTTGAAAGTTAGCATTCATTCTGTGACAAAAAAGGCTGTTTCTAACATTCTCTGAATCTAAGGCTCCCTTATCAACGAGTTCACCCTCAGTCTCTGCTTTATAAACCCTTAATTACTCAAGATTGCAACGGCAGCTTTACCCAGAATCGTAATTATCCCAGAGTAATGTAGTTTTGGTTAAATAAATGTCACAGAGTTGACGGAAATAATAGTAGCACATATAATTGAGTTCTAGAGTTCCGCTCCCGGTCGTAACTATAGGGAGAGATGAATGTAAGGTGAATTCGGAAAGATAATTGAATGGCAGGAGTGGTTAAAAATTCATGGGGCGTAATTGAAAGTCGTAGTTGAAAGCCCTTGAAATTTGTCTGGTGTGCAATGGAGGTCGGGGACTTGACCTAAAAGTATCCGTGGCCTATGTAAGGGTCGCAAGCGTGTTGGGGATGAATATGTTAATGTTATCTAGTAAGTGACTTTGTGTTTATCTTCTTATATGTGACGGGAAGGGTATAAGGCTCTAAAAAGGTGTTGCTTCGTACATAAAATACAAGCCGATCCTTAAGTATGTTCCGATTATACAGGGTGATTCACAAATGGTGACCAAAAATTAAACCTCGTATTCTTTAGTGGGAGTCTTTCCTATAATGTTTTTATCTAGGACGCTTTGTTAAAAAGATACAGGGTGTTATACTTCAAACAATATTTTTAATTTTTTTAAATAATTTAAAAACTAATAAGTGAAATAATTTGAAATGAGGCACCTGTAAACAATGTCTAAAATCTAAAGTATTTTCCTAAAATTTAGATGTTCCAGTGGAGGAGATACAGGGTATCGGTGGCATATTTTTCTAAATAAAATAGTACGCCGCTGAGTTACGGCAATAACCATGATATTTTCGGATTCGTCTTTCAATTTTCTACAAATTACTACTCTTATATTTTTCGAAAAAAGCCTGATTTTCAAGTAAAACATTGTTCCAAATGCATTAGTAATTTCCAACAGTCGACGCAAACGCATTTAATTCTAAACAAAGAATTTTGAATCTTATGTAAGCGCATGCGCCTAACTGATGAAAACTTGGATTGCTCTAGGAACAAAGCTATTATTTTCTACTAAGTGGTCAACAGTTTGCCCTGATTTGTGACATATCTAGTATATGTGTTTTTAGATGTACACAAAAATGTATTTTTAATGAAACAAACTCTACTGAAAACATATATTTATTATACATTAAACAATTTCACATGTAATATTATATATGATTATGTATATAGTGATATTAGTTCATTTTATGTATAGATACGTATAAAAAAATATAAAAATATATCGAACAAAAGAAAGCGACTGCACACGTGAAAACGTATAGACAATTCGTCTTAGTTGTTTTATAAAAATATTTGTATAAATAAACACAACTAAATAAAATTAAGATTTTCGATCACAGAACAAAATGGTATATATACAATTTACCTAATAGGTTTTTTACATTTGCTACTATTAGGCAGTAATAAATTTCAGTTTATAATTTGAAACATAAAACATGACAGCAAAATGCATTACAAATAAGCAAGCGTCAAAGCATTTAATTAGTACCAATAAAAATGATATACTTTATATCCACATATAAGGTGTCTTAAAAACGTATTTCTTATAGTAATTGATCAGAGAAATTTCCAGCAAACGGAACTACCCAGATGTACGACGCGATTGAAAAAAGAAAACAAATTTACACTTGTTCAATATTTTGATATGAGAAATTATCACATGACAACCTCAAGAATATTTTTAAAACACCTTCTGTATTCATATAATTTCAGTTTTTCAGCTTCAAGGAATTTAACTGACTTCTAAACATTCCTTATCTCAGTCAGTAACATGTAATGTTATGAAAACTATTTTTCTCCTAAGTAGATACATAATTTGCACCATTTGTTTAAAAAGTTATTTACTTAAATTTAACAAACAGTAGTAATCCAAAAAGCTCCTTCACAAGAAAAGTAACTTTTTGCGATACCTCGATTTTATTGTCCATTAATAAACTAAGGCGTGTGAAATTAATGTTAGGTTGATAGCAATGTACATTTATACATTTTTTAAGTATTTTAATTAACAAAAGGAACTATGATAATAAAGTGTTCTAAATCAGTTTATTCGTTAATTAATAATTACCTGTTCTAATCAACTAAGAAATTGGGAAAATTAGCTATATTTATAAACCGATATTTTCTGTAAAAAATGTATAACCACAAAAGTCTCTAACTTACATTGTCGTTGTGAAAACAGTTATTATTGTTCAGCATCGGTTTCGTTCTAACAGGTGAAGCAATTTTATAAAATACGCCATACTTTTTCAGTATGATGAATTCACGTTTAGAAAAATACATAACCTAATTTTTTTGGCACATGTAACATATTTTATACTATACATGAAAGTCCAATGGTATATAAATATGTAATATATAAACAGGGAATTTGTCTGTGAGTTTTAATGACATACTTTTATGATAATAACAACAGTCAGCGCGCTATTATTATGTGAAATTAGCCTTATTTTAAAAAAAGCTGGACAGTAACTTTATTACAAGAAATTGGAATTGGATTTTAAATTATATATGGAACGTCACATAAAGAATGTTTATAGATGACACGATGCATTAATGGTAATTTAGATCAATGCAAAAAGGGAATTAATAACAAAATGAGTCTGGAAAATAAATAGGATAAACATATTTTGAGTTACTGAAAACGACAGAATATTAGAGTAAACTAGAAATAAATATTTGCAATTTCAAACAGTAATATAAAATTAAATATAAATTTAACAATGATAATATATTGCATGAAAAAGAAGAAAAATAATTACAGGAGGAACGAAAATAAAAAAATAGTATATACATTTTCCAGATGTGAGACAAGATTGTAGGAGGAAAGTATATGTATTTGTAAGGTCGTTATAAAATAAGTGGGCTTACTTATACAAGTCTGTCCATGTGGCAAAGTGCAGTAACTCACTTATTATTCGAAATACTAAATGTTCAGATAAAAGTTGAAAAGCATCAATACGTCAATATGGTATGACAACGAATTCAAAATTAAAAACTCAAATAAATCCAAAATTATAATGAGGTATGGGAGCGTTTTTATAAAACCTCTTAAAATAGGTCTATATTTATTTATCTTAACCCTTTAAATGTTGTTAATTTATATTAAAATGATAAGCTATGCAAAATATTTCCATTTCTTGGCCATAATTTTTTTTAGCTAAACTAGACACTTCATATTTACGCTACTGACATGGGCTGGAATTTTTTTTACTTTGAATTCAACTTTATTCATATTCTGTGTTCACAGAATTTCATTTCAATGTCACCTTTTGATATTTAGGTATTTTTTTAAATTTCAGTACCTTGTATTTTAAAATCCGAAGGAAACGCTTCTTCATTTTTACTTAATGTTAAACTTCGAAACTTAAATATTTAATAATGATACTTCATTTTAAATATATAAATATGATACTCCATTTCTATCCGTTCTAGTTTTTGCATAATAATCTAGACACTGCACTTTGCTACACTAGTACTTCGCCCTATATACATACATTCAGGAAATACACATTTTTTATTTGTCGTTCCATGGTTGTAAATTTACCTCTTCAAACTGAAAATATGATAAAAATAATTTATTCTTGTATCTAAAATATACAAGGGGTTGCAATATTCCTGTAATAAAATTGTGTATGCGATTCTCTGACTGAAAAAGAAAACATGTCATTCGAACATTTTTCAAATACAGTTTTATTTTTTTTTTCTTGTGGAATCAATTTATTTTATAAATTTTCAAGTATAAAAGTTTTAATATACCAGATTTGAATGAATTATTTTCAAAAATGTGAAAAGTAAATATCAATAATATAATTAAAAGAAAACAAAAAATGTATTACTCTGCATCTCAAAAACGAAGCTTTTGAGGTTCAAATAAACACCTTGTCGCCTGTAGGATTTTATAGGTGAAATATTGCAGCACCCTAGGAAGAAAATTGGGAGAGAAATTTAACTTTTTAAACTGAGTTGTATAATTTTCATTTTCAAGTACTCTCAAAGGAATTGAACTGGATTGTTTTAATATTTACGAAACTTAACTTGTAAATGTTTTATTAAAAAAGGATTCAGCTTTATTCCAGTTCTGCAAATAAAAATAAATTTTTGTATTTTGTCATTAAAAATCACAAATTCAACCCCTGGAGCACCTCATATGTCAGACGAACTCGGAATTGCTGCTGAAACTACCCGACCCGGAAGAAGACACCCTGACGAGTAAAGAACAGTCACTGTCTGAATCGCACTCGTAGTCTTCATCATCGAACCCCAGGGAATTCCTAGATCATAGTTCGATCACCTCGGGGCCCTTCCAAGTAATTCCCGCTCGCAGCAGATTGCAGAACCTCATCACCCCGCTGATAGCGATTACCTGCAATGATAGAGAGTTATTTCAAAATATTCATTTTTCTTTGGGCAGACGTATATTGCTACACGGCTGTATATGGGATATAAGAAAAGTGAACTAACAAGGATGATAGGATTCCTGAAATAAATGGGGGTCTAGTTAAGAGTGTTAACAAAATCCTTCGTTAAAAATTATTAGAAAAGCAATTACTTGAATTAGATTATTTCTTTTATTCTATTCTATAGCTGTGAAGTATAGTATGTAAATACTATTCTTTTATTTCTATTACTAGAATTCTGTTTTGTTCCCATTTTCTTATTTCAGTAGTGGCAAGGTACCCACATAAATAAACCCAACATGTGCTTATAAGTATTGAAACTTATATCACAGAAAAACAAACACTGTCGAAAGGGAAAGTACCACACAAATGCTTCATATTAGTTTTTAGTAAGAATGTCAAGTAGTATAGCTGTCAGCATCTCCAAATTCAGGGACTAGGATTCCCCACCCCTGTCACCACCACAGAAATTTTCCTTAACTGGGCAAGTAAAACCCTTCGAAGGGATGCAATGCCGTAAGGTTTCGTGTCTTTGCAATGTCAGGCACGTTGAAGGTCCTTACCCATGACAAAATGGGGGTTCGGCATAATTTTCAGATTAGGGGTGCCCATGTTTACATAAACAACGATGAAATCGCCTTCTGGCAACGGAAATTGACGTAGGTGGCGGAAATAGACTTTCTTAGAATATATTATAAAAAATACATGTTGATGCTGCTTCTTTTATGTAGAGTGGATGAACTTCCACGTTTTTTGGGAGACAGTTTCTTTTTAGTAATAACGTGTTGTAATAAAATTGGTAAAAAAAAAACCTAAGTGCATAGTTTCTGCTATTTTTCTAATTATTGAAACCGGATTACGCCATGCAATAAATCGATATTAATTTTTTTACGCGAAAACGGTGCGTTGTAAGAAAAACAGACAAGATACCTTTTCTCTTCCAAATTGAACAAGGAATGCAAAAATAATATTTATTTTAAGAAATATTAGTGGCGTATAATTTTTTTCTTTAAAAATGTCCAGAGATATGCCTGTGCGCACGCCACTGGTGAAACTAAAAACAATATTTTTATCGTAAAACATGTATTGTTGTTAACTGTCAAAGCCTGTAAAATTTCATTAAAATATTCTGAGCGGTTTCCGCAATATTTTTAAAATTGCATTTTTTTATTAAAACTTTAACACCCTGTAGATCGGAAACTAAGCGTTTTCGGAATATGGTACATTGAGAAAATATATCACAAATCACTTGTACTATAACCTCCTGCAAGGAATGCATCGATTTACCAAACACCCTGTATGTTATTTTTATTAGTTTGTTACTTTTTATGTATTATTCCTAATATTACATACTTTTGCTATATACATTATTTCAGTTAAATATACGAATAATAAGTGCCGTTTTGTCTAAATTTGTGAACAATAAGAGCCACGAATGCACAAACATTGAATGATTAACTATTAGTTATTATTGTTATTTACTTATTATTTCGTGATTGTGCAAATAACTCTTTTCGATATTATTGATGGGATTTCATTTCACTTACATTGCATTATTTGAGGAAAAACTTTCTTTCTCCGTGCTTTGCAAACTGCAAATTAGATAATAATCCTCCGATCCCAGAGCGAAAAAAGAATTGGATTAATCCAATAATATTTTTTAAGCCAATATGCAAATTTATGGCCTATTAAAGTTTAAAAACGAAGTTAAAGGGTCCCTCGCCATGAATATTACTTCGGAATTAGATTACGAGTTATGGTTATTTTTATTTGCCTTGCCTTTCCATTTGCTTTCAAAGTATACAGGGTATTAACTATGTATAATACAGTTTTTTGGTGACAAAGGAAATCAATGACAACTGCGTACGTGGAATATACAGAGTGATTCACAAATGGTGACCAAAAATGAAACCTCGTATTCTTTGGTGAATTTTAAGGGAAGTCTTTCCTATAAAGCTTTTATCTAGGACGCTTCGTTAGAAAGATACAGGGTGTTAAAATTCAACATATATTTTTTATTTTTTTAAATAATTTAAAAACTAGTAAGTGAAATAATTTGAAATTGGTCACATTTATTTATGTAAACCAAAATTCGAGGGCTTTTCCTAAAATTTACATGCTTTCGGATTCGTCTTTCTATTTTCTACAAATTACTACTCTCTTATGTTTTTCGAAAAAAGCCTGAGCCATTTGTGAATCACCCTTATTTTTCTTTTGTCAAAAACTAAATTGTACAAATAAATTCAGAAATATATAGGGTGGTTTTAAATTTAAGTATTCCGAAATAAATAATAAAGGGGATATATCCTTTTAAATTCGATAAAATAGCTATCACATTTATATATTAAAAGGTTTTGAGATATCTTAATCATATTTTAAATATAGACTTAAGTACCAGAGCATTCAACGGGTCCTTTTAGGGGGCGACTATCAGTATTTCATTCTATTTTTTTATTATCCCTAGAACATTAAGTCAAATTGTAAAATTTCACTACATCGATCGTATTTTGTATTTTGGTTTGGAGCCTAGGAGTTCTGATAGCCTAGCCCTAAAACTACAGGGTCTGGTCAAAGATTCCCAGCTAAAGTTAAAGAAGTGAAATATAAAATTGTTACTGTTAGCGACCAGGTAGATAAGCCATAGCTTAATAAATTGAAAACTATCCTAAATACAGGCAACTGATGCTTTAAATGGTTCTATTTTCGAGAAAATTAATTAATAAAATTAACCGTAAATGTAAGTCGACCCTGTGCATCTTGTGCACGTGCGTTGTGTGTTGCAGTATTACTTAGCCCGCGTATAAAATGTTTTCGGATCAATAACTGGCTGATATGAAAAAGAAAACATCATAAACAACTATATTGTTTTAGACTATCAGTTGCTTATTTTCGTGCCTTCATTCACCCTTTTCGAGGAACGCACTTATTTCAGAAACACCCTGTATGTGTATATAATTTATTCCAATTCAAATATGACTTTCTCTTGTGCCTTAGCTGTAATTTATAACTTTTAGAATCTATGTGGATCCACCATTACTTTGTCAAAAGCCGTGGAAGGAATAAACAAAATTATTTAATGAACCTAGTCGACTGTGAAACGGAAGTCGACTTAATGCAGACCCCATTTTACACAACTTTATGTACTCTTCGAATCGGATGTGACACGCAGACTGAAGAGTTTTTCGCACAATTTCAGTTTTATGGATTCCCAACCAAATCAAACTTTGAATGTATACACATTTCATGGTTCTCATTTTATTATATAGAAGCCGGGTAAATTTTTCAGGAATGACAATTTCAGGCCGGCAGAAAATATGTTTTCAGACAGTCGCACGTGGAAGAAAAAATAATTGCCGTGGAAGTTTCAGGAGGCAATGAAATTAAATTGAAATGTGCAGAATGAGCTATATTTATCTATTTATCGTGAAATAATTTGAAAATGAGAGGGGCACTTGACTTTTTCCAAACATTTGCGAAAAGTACAATTGGATCAGTATTCGAAATTTAGGATTACGTAAAGTCGCAAGCAAAACTATCTTTATATAAATATTCTTAAACGACGTTATAGTTTTACTGTTTTCACAAATATTTTGATTAACTGAAACAATATTATTGCCGTTTTAAGATGGTTTTTCGGGTTGTTATGGCGTGGTCTAATTGCCGCCAATTACAAAATTATCTTTCATTACCTTAGCCCTAGCTAGAAATCATTGACCTGCCCTTGTTGTTCTTGGGCTAGGCCCTGTGGGTGCGCTTAAGGTTTTATTTTGATGAGTGCCTACTGATATATTTTGATGGGTTGATTCGCCATATATTACTGTCAGCTGTATCTGTTCAGGCTGATATTTTTCGAAAAACACAATTTGTTCTTTTGATTTGATTGTTGTAAATTTTATTTTGAAAAATATACATTGGAACAAAAGGTTTTTTTCTAAGAACATGGCATTAACGATTTAGATTTACACCTTAAGTTTTTAACTAAAAAACTAAGTACGTGGTCAGAAAACAGAGCCCACTTGTTCTCAAGGAATCTAAAATTAATGACACCTAAGGTGGAAAACCCCTCAGAAGTTAATAAAACTAAAGACTTGCACACTTTGTTTGCGAAGTTTCAGGCCTGAGTGCCTGGCTGGGGGCTTTTGATCACATGAGTAGGCAATTTTCCAGTAAACTTGAAACGCGCGGACTTGTAAAATTTATTGTTTTCCTTTTTCGCTGTCGTCTGCGGTAATAAAACACACGCACATCAAAGCAGGCTAAGTAAGGTATTTTACCGGATTCCACCGCAACCGAGCGAAAACAAATTGTCTTATATTTGTCTCTGTTCAATTTAACATCTGCAATGGTGGCTGCTCGGGCGGAAAAAATTCGAACTAGTTTCCAGCTATTTGAACGTTCCTTCCAACCTAATAAGAAGATGAAGTGAAATAGCACAACAAATTGTGCGTGACATACATACAGAATTTTTTAAATAAATAGCTCAAAATCACTGCAAATTGGCATAGCACTAGATGATTTTAAATTGGGCGAGTCTTCTGAAAAACAGCGTTCTGTTTTTTTCTACAACGAAAGATTTATAGAGTAAAACGGATTTCAGATTTTGTTTTTATTCGCCAAAAGTAGTAGCCGATGCTCAAAGGCATTTAGCCAACCATCTGTGAAGCAGAAGAAGCAGAGCAGAAATAATAAATTTACCAATGTGGAACTTATTTCGTAATCAAACAAACTACATCTTCAGATCGAAACAAAGCAATATAATATTGAAAAGCCCGTTCTAAATCATTATAGACCGGGAGATATTAGACTGAAGTTCGACGACGTCTTTCTCGTTTATGCCTCTGAGAGTACTGACAGGTAACCGAGAGATAAGTACAATAAACTAAATTTAAAAGATGGACTGCGGGACACCTTTGTGAAAATTCAATTTTCCTTTTCAAAAAAATAATGTGTACAGCGACGTATTTCTCACTTATGCCATGTTCGTAAGTTGAAGAGAAGTATCGATTTTATCACAAAATTTTTTTGGCATAAGTGTCGCAAGGGACCTAAAAATGGAAAACTTTGTAAGAAAATGTGGAAAAACATCTTTATTTGTCTACCAATTTCTCATTAATGCCAATTAGAAATATGACATTATTATATTCGAAAAGCTCATAAAAAACATTGGCATAAGTCCTACTAAGGACTAAAGAAAATAGGGCTTTGGAAAAGCTGCGGAAAATTTTTCGTTTTGGTCAACGTTTTTCTCGTGAATAAATTAAAGCTTATTGCAAAGAAAAAAATGAAAGTATTCATTTTTTTTAAAGGGCATAAGTCCCTGGTGAGGACTATATGCTAAAAATTTTTTGAAAAGTTGTAGGAAAATTCATGAAAATTTTTACGTCTTTCTCGCTTATGCCATTTTGCATGCACGTAGGAAACTACATTATAAAGTCATATAAATGTAGGCATAAGTCCACATTGGATTTTCATGTTGTAAATTAATTTGAATTTTAATACGAGTCAGGTCGACAAAGTAGAAAAATAATAGAAAATTGCCACAATTTTCTCGTTTATGCCGTTTCGTACACGAGTAGAAAATATTACTAAAAGCCATTTTCAAGAGTGGCATGAATGCCACAAGGTACCGTCGTATGTAAAAATTTTTAAAAAGTTTATTTCATCGCCTACGCAATTTTCGAAATACTTATACTTACTTGCATTTAGCGTATTTTTAATTTTTATAAATATAAGTAATTCATGTATTTAATGAAAGTTAATAATAAACTATTTCGGCTTAAGTCCCCACATATTAGAAATGATTTTTAATTATTCTTTGAGTCATGATCAGAAAAAGAAAAATTATATAATATTGCCACAAATTTCTCGTTTGTTCGTAAATGAGTAGAGTATTTTATCACAATAGACCATACGTATTTATGAACAATATATTTAAATTTTAAAAATTAAAAATATTATATAATTTGAATTAACCGCTTCAGTGCAAGGATGATCTACTTGAATTGAGCCGACTAAGGTAGAAGAAGAAGAAGAAGAAGAAGAAATAATTAAGCTAGAATACATAGGGAAGAAACTGATTTATAACTGATTTAATATCATGTATATTGAATTTTGTTTTTTGTTTCTGGTACTTTGTACCTTAATTACTTAATTTGTACTTTTATACATTTTATTTTTATATTAAAAGATTTATTTAAGTAATAGTAATTGAATTGAAAAACCGCTGCCAACTCAATTGTCAGAATGCTTCCTCAAAGACTTTGAATTACTAATTTTTAATTATAACTAACACAAACAATAACACTTAAAATAATACAAATTTTTATTAACTTAAAATTAAAGCATATCAAAAATAAAAAGTTTTTTCGGTTTTATGATTTTTTACATTTTCAAATTTCAAACAGTTTTATCTGCAGCTCTTGATGAAAACGGATCAAAATAAAGGCCTTACTACCAGCTTTATTATAAGTTATTAAGAATTATCGTAATAAAAAATAACATGTCGAAAAATCAAACTAAACCCAATATAAAGCTTTCTCTTTTTCATGAAATTTTTTTTATTTTAAATTTTTTATTCCCTTTTATAGTTAGAAATATTCATTTTTTATATAGATATCTTCTCCGACACTTGCATTATTTATCATACATTTTTTAAATTAATTTAAGTATATCGAAAATTGCGCAGGCGAGGAAATAACCGCAATTTGTAATTTTTGACAACTTTTTAAAAAATTTTACATACGACGGTACCTTGTGGCATTCATGCCACTCTTGAAAGTGGCTTTTAATAATATTTTCTACTCGTGTACAAAACGGCATAAACGAGAAAATTGTGGCAATTTTCTATAATTTTTCTACTTTGTCGACCTGACTCATATTAAAATTCAAATTAATTTACAACATGAAAATCCAATGTGGACTTATGCCTACATTTATATGACTTTATAATGTAGTTTCCTACGTGCATGCAAAATGGCATAAGCGAGAAAGACGTAAAAATTTTCATGAATTTTCCTACAACTTTGAGACTTATGCCTTCATATTGAACCCATAGAGGAGTGATGCCTACTTGACACAGTACATTATTTATAGTAAGTATCATAAATTTTCAACGGCATAAATGAGAAAGTTATAGAATGAAAATAAAAATTTTCCGCAGCTTTTCCAAAGCTCTATTTTCTTTAGTCCTTAGTAGGACTTATGCCAATGTTTTTTATGAGCTTTTCGAATATAATAATGTCATATTTCTAATTGGCATTAATGAGAAATTGGTAGACAAATAAAGATGTTTTTCCACATTTTCTTACAAAGTTTTCCATTTTTAGGTCCCTTGCGACACTTATGCCAAAAAAATTTTGTGATAAAATCGATACTTCTCTTCAACTTACGAACATGGCATAAGTGAGAAATACGTCGCTGTACACATTATTTTTTTGAAAAGGAAAATTGAATTTTCACAAAGGTGTCCCGCAGCCCATCTTTTAAATTTAGTTTATTGTACTTGTCTCTCGGTTACCTTTCAGTACTCTCAGAGGCATAAACGAGAAAGACGTCGTCGAACTTCAGTCTAATATCTCCCGGTCTATTAATAAGCGTTTTTATTTAACTACAAATTACAACGATTGTTTGAAATTTTGTTTGTATCTTTATATAAATATTATTTACACATTTAATAAATGTTTAAGACCATTTGCGTTTCAGTGAGAGTAAATTTTTAAATACTGTATTACGCACAAATAATCTCACTAAATTATTAAATATTTTGTGTTATTGTTGATAGCATAGTCTATATAACTGATTAAAGATGCCAATCATTGTAAGTGAGGTAAGTGAGGTAATCATATCAAACTCTAAATTAATTAAGTAATTATCTAAATACAGAAAATTGAACTAAAGCCAAGTTGAAACCGCTGAACTTAGTTGAAGTTTGCAGAAATCTGAAAGTGTTAACAAGCATAATATTATTTAGCTTTGATTTGCTGAATTATACAATAGTACAGTATTTCAACTTCTATACTGGTAAGTGAGAATTTAATAATTTTTTTTGTATACATATGGTGAATAATTTATTATTCAACCTTTATTATAATAAAAAACTGCTTGAAGTTTAGTGTTTTTTTTACTTACACAAGACAAAATTGGAACGCCACGATTTAATTTTCAAATGGAATTCTATATCACGCCTGCTCCGAATAATAAAATTTTCATATTCATACTCCAGATGTCTCACTAAATATACGCCAAGCATTGCAAATAGACCTTTTAGCTGTATAATTAATAATACAGGAATGAGATAAATTTTTCTCTAAAAGCAATTTTATGTACATTTAACAAAAGATTGTGATAGTATAATATAACAATATTGTTACGAAAGCTTACCTACCTAATTCATTATTTCATTAGATCTTTTATTGTGAATTTACCAGTTTCTGTAATATAATAATTGAACTATATTGGACTTGAATGCTTTACCAAAGGCCGAGAAAATTCGAAAACACGAAAAAGAATATACAAAACATACTACCTTAGCACCAAGAATAGTTTGTTGGCGTTAACCAATGCGAAAGAATGGATATTGTACAGTAAGGAAAAATAATTGTTGGTGGACTCTTGCTGTTGAAGTTTATTAAAGTTTAATAATCTCATATCAAGTGATTACTTCGAAGAATTTTGAAGATTAAGTGTGCCATCAACGTTACAATATACCAGAAAAGTAATTAACTAATACATAATTAAAGGTTGTTTTTTTTGTTAAACAGTACGAGATGTTTCTAAAGTTTATATTACAACTTTTGGCGATAGTTTTTGGATCTGTTTAGACAAAAAAGAATTGAACTAAAAATTTTGCACGTCTAACCAAAAAAACTATGTAAGTTATGTCAGACAGTAGGTAGATATGCTGGAAGAGATTGTACGCATATTAATAAACCTTGAATTTTATCTAAATCTATTTGTTTCTCAAAACAATAAAGTGATGGTAATTTTTTGCTACTCTTGCTTCAAAGCTCTTGCAGAATTGCAACTGAAAATGTCGCCAGTGACAAACCTTTTAAGAAATCATTAAATAATAATACAATAGCGTAACATTGCTTTGAATAAAACAGGAAATTCGTTTGACATAAATTAATAAACATATTTCTGCATTTCAATGTTTGTTTTGGATGAAACTGTTTTTTTTTTCTAAATTATGGATCTATAAAACACAGAGTAATATTTAATAAAAGCATGAACCATTTTCTATAGGAACCAATATCCTACTTATCGATAAAATAACTAACTATTACATACTTACATTAATCAATGTTCTTGTTACAAAAAACGCCACCTCCGCTTTACAAAGGGCGTCGAATTCCTGAAACAAATATACAAATTTATAGAACAACCCTAGTCAGCAACCCTAAAATCGAACTACATTTGGTATTCAGGTTACAGGTTCTCATTCGCTGCTTATTGTGTTTACGACTATTGCGGAAAAAATCAGAATTTCAAATTGCCCTATGTTGCTCCAAATACAATATATTTTATTATTCGTTTCAGTAGAAGACAAAAACTACTGGGACAACTTAATTAGACAGGGCTGTCAATCTTTCTTCGGAAGGAAGGGCTTTAACATGATGAAGTTTATATACAGGGGGTCTGTTTAAGTCAAAATTTACTGATGTATTCTACATAATAATAAAGTTAGTTTTTAAAAAACTTGGAGACACACTAATATGCATTCCCGAAAGATTTTGGTGCGCTGAATCCGAATCTGGCCGCAGAATTGCTCCATCACGTCACGTTTTTGAGATATCCTAACCTAAAAGTGCAAAAAACACTGTTTTTCGTCATATTTGGGATTATGTAGTAATGCATTTTTGCGTTGAGATATTCAACATCACATGTTGAAATTTCTAAGTTTCTTAATATGCGAAAATCTACCAAGGATCCCTTAGACGTCAAACAGTTGATTGTAGTTCAGACACTTCATACTCAGAAACCTTCGATACATACGAATTCAAACTCACAAACTCTAAATCCACAAACCCACAAACCCCATACCCACAATCCCTAAAACCCACAAACCCCAATCCCACAAAAACCGAACCTACAAACTCCAAGCTAACAAACACCAAGCCCACCAACTCCAAACCCACAAACCGTATGGGTATGAAGTTTCTGAATTGCAATCGACTGCTTGATGTCTAAGGGCTCCTTAGTAGATTTTCGCATATTAAGAAACTGAGAAACTTAAAAATTTCAACATGTGATATCTCAACAAAAAAAAAAAGACATTTGAGCAAACTCAACGGCATTCGAAGGAGGGAGACTTGTACTTTTAAATTCAGTGCATTAGTTTTTTGAAAAAAAAAAAATAAAAATAGGTGGCATTACTACATAACCTCAAATATGACGAAAAACAGTGTTTTTTGCACGTTTAGGTTAGGATATCTCAAAAACCTGACGTGATAGAGCAATTCTGCTGCCAGATTCGGATTCAGCGGACCTAAATCCTTCGGAAATATATATTGGTCTGTGTTATTTGAGGCCGTTGTTAACTGTCACATAAAGCCAATGGTGTATTATTATTATTTTTTTTTAAATAAAGAGTCTGCAAACCTCAATAGCACCTCACTGGTTAAACTGAAATTTTGCCAGATAACAGGTGCCCAAAAAAGGATATATCATACCGAATTTGAAACATAGTCACTTTTTTATAAATGCTCGACACCTAGTAACCTAAAAATAGAGTATTTCATGATACATGTTTTGTCAAGGTAGTACCCTTAGTTTTTATGTACAATACACCAGTAAATTTTAACTTAGACCTCCTGAGACTACTTATGTGCCTATTTACAAAAAAATACTATACTACGTAATATGTTACGAAAGTAGGTTTAATGGTTTGCTTTTATCGCTCCTATAAAACTTTCATCTAATTAACAAAGTTTCCCGTCTTTTTTATACCTTGTTTAAGAGATTGAAAACTTTGGCTCATGCAGGCGGATAAATGTCATTAACTTTGTCTGAAAGAAGGTTTGTGAATTAGTTTTCAAGGCTGTGCACATAAACTCTGAATTATTAATAAATTTAATTAGAAAGATTTGTAAAGTGGGACAGATTGTATTGCTTTGAAAGTCCATAACATAAAATACGCTAGATCTATAAGAAAGTAATAAATTTAACTTTAATGATACAATAGTATATAAACTCCGTCTATGTCAGTCTACCTTTTTATACCATAGTAATAATATATCTAAGTTTATTGTGAGCAAAAGAAGAAAAGCAAAATATAACAAACCTATAACATGACATTTATAAAAATTACGTTTCGGTCTTATTTACAATCACAAAAGAATAAGCCATTTGTACATAAATATTTTTAAGCCCTAAACTAAAATTTGTAAGTCACCCATTGAAGATATTGTCTCCCTTTCCAGGCAGAATCGTTTTTGGTATACCTATCCGTATATGCTCTATGAACATTATAGTAATATATAACCCCAATCTATAACAGTAAACGAAAATTTATGGTATCAGAGAGGTCAAACTATTGAAAGGTAATGGCTTTTATTGCCTAAAAACTCAACTCGTAATTTTGATGGATACGTCTGTGTCAGGTTATGTGATTATACGAGTGCAATAAATAAACCAACGGACAGGAAATAAATGGCAGTGGAAAATTTGTAATAGGCGATATCCCAAAGACCCCTTACTCCGTAGGGAATATTTAACTTTCATCCTAATCGATAATATAGCCGTCTTTACGGACACAGATAGCATCAAACACTTTTATGCGATCTCAATGGCAGCAATCAGACTGAATCGTTTTCGATGTCAGAGGCAGTGGTATTTTTTGATGAATTAATACAAAAACTAAGGAAGGAAGTAACATAATTTTATCTCAAACGGAGATCCCTTTTTCCGCTTAAACGTCAATATTTTTTTCTCGCTTGTCACCATTCCCGTTATTGGAACGAGGAAATTATATTAATTTTATAGAATCATTTAATTTCATTTTAAAAAAGTAAAAAATACAAGAGATTAACATAGAATTGTGTTAACTAATGATTAGAGATCGGAAATTTTGTGCCGACAATCAAATACACAAACAGTAGTAATCTTTATTATGCTAGTAACCGGCAATACGTGTTGTAGTAGCAGACATGCTAAATCTATGGTAAGCCGTGTGCCGCTCTATGCTCACAATGCGCAATGCTACTGACTGAAAAAACCAGGATTGTGCCGCTAAATACGTATCGAATAAATTGATCGATGCGAAGCCACAGATCAGAGGTAGACAGACATGTGTACATATTATTGTAAAATGACGCTGATAGTGAATATACATATATGTTAAATTAATTTTTAATACTTAAGTAAAGCCCTCAACAAAATCGGTACGAAACATTTTTTGTTATAATATCTAAATATCGAGTGTACTTAGCACGAATATCTAGTCCTTGGGCGTATGTTATTAGACGAATTTGGCTTTTGGTAAAGAGAATACTTACTTTATTTACATGATCCCTAAGGACGTTGGAGTACACCATCGATACCGCCTCTAAAGCCATAAATGTTATGAAACCAATTACCCAGGGTATCACTAGCGAAATATTTTCCTGAAACAAAATACAAAGATGAAAATTTACATATTAAAATACAGTCAGTTATAATTGTTATTTATGCACCACTTGTATAAGGTAACCCTTTCTTCATAAGGAAGTAAAAAAAATCTTAAGGTAGAACATCAAAAATGCCGAAGTGTACCTACAGTGTCTAATTATTAAAGGTTTGGAACTTACAGAGCTGTTGGGATTAAAAAATAAATAAAATATATTTTATGGATAACGAACACCTAATATATACATACGCGAATGAATAACATATTTGTCAATTTTAAACTCATATCAAAATTGTTCATAAAATTTTTCCTGGTATTACTAAAAATGCACAACAAAGCGTACAGTTGTTCATTTGGCTGTAGGAATTCAGTTTCAGTTCATTGTTTTCGATGAGATTCGAGGCCATCCTGATATTAAATAGGAAGAGATAAAATATTTTATGTGAGCAGCGGAGCATTCGAATCAATATTATGTATTTGAACATCATATTTGCGATATCAAGAACATCATTATTTTCTCATAGACACGTGTTCCATCCAAACTTATGTAAACATTATTGTTGATTATAAAATTATTTTGTTTACGTTTAAATTAATAAATATTTTAAAATATTTCATCAAAATAAAAGTGAATGTTCTTAAATACTACTAGAATTCTTTAATATTACATTTGCACAAAATCTCCTTTTTGGAAGGGAAGTGAGATAGTAACACTGTCATATTGAACTTTTTCAACCGAGATTTGATTATTAAATTTTTTCAATATCATAACTAAATGTGAGGCGGAGAGTATTTCCTTCCTGATATCGTTTCTTACTTCCTGAAGAAACATTTGCGAGGATAGAAAATTACATCATGAAAACAGTAGTAGAGGTGCTTAAAAATTGATCAAAATCCGCACCAAAAAGCTTCTTTGTAAAAGCTATTCTTAGGTCTGAGGAGAAGTAACTAGGAATGTTCCAAAGCAGTAGAAATCTGTCACAATGTAAGACACAAAGATTCTTGCAACAATGTGATTTAACAATTCTTGTTTTTTAATTACTTGCCTCTTATGATAGCAGTCAAAACAGTGATGCGCTGAAAGTTCTTCTTTGCCTCCAATATCTTAGAGACTGTTCATAATAAGAATATTCTACACAAAGTGTTTCAAATATCAAATTGATTTGATTTATCGATTTCCAACTATTATACAAAATTGATTTGCCAATAGCAGGAAACTAATTTTTCTGAACCGTCTAGAATTCCTTTGCTAGAAAGACATAAAACCTAGTCCCATCCGAGGCTGATTAACTGTACCGTTTCGGTTTTACTTCGTATGTATATAAGGGTGCAAATGTCAGAGTTCTAATTAGTGGCGTAATTAGATTAGAGACAAATGGACAAAGTTCGGAAGGTTTACCCAATCCTCTAACTAAAAATAACTAGATGCACCTCACGTATTTCTCGTTTAATTTAGGGAGGTAGCTGCAACTGAGAATTTTGATTAAATGTCTAATTTATCAAGTAGACTTCTAGGAGCTTCGAATTAAAATTAAGCAATTTTCATTCAGTTCCTTCGTAGTTGTGTACAAAAGTTTTCAGTCTATGTTAGCTTTAAAAGGTTGTCCCTTGTTTCATTTTATGCCAGAATCAAATGTAGCTGAAGATGTTTGACGTATCTAGAGCTGATAATTTAAATAATTAAATGTAAATATTTACTGAATTTGTATAGGTACATTATGTCAGAGGTACTATAAGACACTCTCATTAAGAACGCTAGGAACGCTATGTATTCTAGAACGCAGGAATACAGGATGTGTCCCATTCAATCTAAAGTATTTAAGAGGTAATCTCAGCCGCTTTAAGAAAAAAACTTCATGTCAAAACGCATCACTTCTAAGCCAGGTGAGTGCTGAAGACTTAAATGCTTATTTGATGCTAAAATCTCTAGAAAATGTCAATCTGTTTAGTACTGAGGGAAAATTGGAAAACACATACAATGTGTAAGTGAAATACTTAGTCAAAGCAATTCGTACGAAGATTTCAGTAAACCAAACCGCATCAGTTTAAAAAATCTAGTGTGGGTCACGCGACTTAAAACGTGGCGTAACTAAACCCCCGCCATATTGAAAGATGTCTTCAACAAACTGGTCAGTTTAACACTAACAGAGAGGTGCCAGACGTCCTCGTCGAGCTCTAAAACCCATTGTGGAAGAATACATTCTGGAAATGGTCGAAAGAACCCAGCAACAGTATCAGATTAATATAGAGGCAGATTATAATTCCCAAAAGTATAGTGAACCCCTTGATCCTGTCGCTCGTCTTCAATTCTCGCAGATTATTCTCCAATATAAGCTGGAGATATGATCTTCCACAACAAAATTATTTTCACAAACGGATCCTGCTTTATGAAATTGGGGGATATAATAAATCTCCACAACCAGCATGTTTACACAGAGGGAAATCTGTATAGGTGGTCGATACTGTCCTCTGACCTACACAGTCTACCATTTTACTTAAATATAAATAAACCGATTGAACCGATTATATACTTCTTGCAAACCTTTACTCACGCCTTGGTAGAAATACAAATAGGAAACTTTGTTGCTGTTCCAGTCGGTATCATACACACACAGCTTCAATTATGAGTTACTGTTGAACTTGTAGAGAATTTTAATCAAATCAGTTGTGGGCGCGGTGTAAAATCTCACGGGATTAGTCACATCCATTTAATCGGTTTATGCCGTATACAATTTTATTAACGTAACGATATTATACCGTTACATTGTCATGCGGATAGTGTACTGTTTTTGCGCATCATTTAAAATTAGATTAGGGGAGGTTTGTTTCAATATTAATTAATACACTTTGAGGTTTTTTATCGTCTTCATGGAATATATTTTGTAAAGGACTGTTACATACATAATGCGAAAGTGCTTAAAATATAACAAACAAAATCTAATTACTTGAGAAATATAGGGTGTCTTTCAAACCAGGTTTTCTTCTTGGTACATGTTTATCTTCTGAGATTTAAACACTGTATGTCCTCATAGGGAAAAAGTAATTAAATAAAACGATAAAAGAATATCTGCATGTGGATTGTACGCCGACCACACGTGTGTTTTTCTGAAGTTTAAGAGCCCCCTGTACATTTTTTTTGCATAAGTTCCGAATCACCCTGTATAATGCATCTCTCTAAATATATATTCAATTTATGAAGATAGAAATCTTTATCTTTCTTCTCTTCCTATTTTCTTTCCTTGTGCTCTTTTAACTCGTCTTCTGTTCTATTTTTTTACTATAAATAGTACCCTTTAATCATAACTTTTTCTTTTTACGATTTCAAATTAAATAATGGCAGAGGTATAGACATATTGAGACAGATTAAATAAATGACCTTTTTTACACCTGGAAACTTGATAAAGTTTGACGAATAACTCCTTACCAAGTTCAATTTTCCCTTGTATTGAGATTTCCATACGCCTCAAGTTAAGGATAGTGCCATTAATCTTAGTGGTTCAAACTTTGCAAAATTTAATGCATTTCGCAAGAAAATGTTAAAAAAGGGCTCCTTGGGGCTACATTGAACAAATTACATTGGCTAGGGGGTATTATTTCGTAAAAAAGTTATGAAATATTAGACAAGTTCGTAAAAGTCTGGAAAAAGTAATATAAAATTAAAATGACAGATTCTATTACTTGGCCGTAATTGCTCATTTTAAGGGAGCCGGTTCTATTGCCATTCAAATTAAAAATTTCGAGCCTTCAAAAGCGCAGAAAGTAGAAGTGGCAGTTTATTAAATTGTCTGTATCTAATTACGGAATATATTCGAGATACGTTTATTCAAAATGGTGTCTTAATTTTTTCAGAAGATCTGCATTTTTTTATTTCACTTTTAATTCACTTACTTTAAATCAAAAGTAACATACGGGCGGAAACTATTGACAATTTTATTAACATACCTTTTATTCTATCACATCAATTAGTGAAAAATATTTGTGGAAATCTGAATACAAGACAACGTTTTATTTCCCGACAGTTTATTAGGATGGACTATGGTCTTCTTCATTTGTTCCTTTATTAAACTTTTAAATCGAATAAGAAAGAGTAAATCATCTGCATACTTTTGGTTTGGTGTTCCTACTTATTCAGTAGTATTTCAAAGTAGTAGAGACTGTACTCTTCCCTGCGATCATCCTCTTACAACCCGCACCATCACACAAACACCAAAATTTCCAACGTTAGCAATAGTAAGGTTTTGCACTGACAATTTATATGTGATTAATTTGCGAGGTTCTTCATGAAATTGATGAATTGCATAAATTTAATCAAGAATAGTTTTGTTTTACGCTGTTGCTGATATTGCGAATTCCTTTTTGACTTAGGTATACATCATTTCTACCAGCTTATACACTCAAATCAGCTGACCAGTACGGTCTTGGTTTTTTTGTTAGTACTTGTACTCCAGAAATTCTTTTAAAAAATTGATTGAAAATTAAAGGACTCGCGAAAATTCCATGAATAAATTTATCAGCGCAAAACAGTCGTGATAGTTACGATTAATTATTCCCAATTAAGGTGCACGAAAGCTAAGTCTGAAAATGAACTGATAACGCAATTATAATTCTAATCGACTTCAAGGTAATCTCAACTATCAATTCAAAATGAACTAGTTATTCCGCGGGAGCACCCCAAAATTGGAACGCATTCTCAAGAGACATATAACATTATACATATTTCCTCCCCGTGGGCTATAAATAATTGATGTCGCTCGATATTCCTCTTGAAATAAACATTTTCACGCACCAATACAACTACTCCCTCCGCCGTTACCCCAGTTTTGTATCGCCTTCTGGAATTTTCAATGCCTCGAGCTCATTCGCTCTACTGTTTTAAATTTCTTAATGGAAGTTTGGCTTGGTACAACCAGACGACACCAATTTTTTTATCTAATCAGATTGTGGAATAGAGCTAATCTACAGATTAATAATTTTAATAATTTTCTTCTACAAAATCAC